CCCCCCCCATTTTTACCTCCCGTACGCCTATGTTCACTTCTTGGTGTGACATTACACATTTACAGTGTCAGATCACACTAACGTGATATTTTTCTCTGTCTAGGATATGTCCAAGAATTTCTATCAGCGAGGTTTTGGATTCCCCTAGGTCGTCTGACGTATTCTACATACTTAGTACATTGTGCATTGTTAAACGTCATGTACTTTGGCTATAGATCAGGTCTGCTTTTCTCAACGCAGTGGTGGGTACGTATGTAAACGAATTTTTTGGGTGACTTTCTACATAAATGCCTTGAAATAATGTCATAATTATTCCACCCCAGTTGCCAGGACTTTCATTGATAGAAGTTTTTATAACTGAAGCAGTTATCCTGACTTCGTGGGTGGGGAACAAATGCGAATTTAACTCAACGCACAGTCATCTATATGGGACTGGTGCATGACTACAGTCATTTTCAAATAAACCAAATGTAAGTTCTTTGTATGTTTGCATGGTGATAAAATATAATAGGTTTTGTTTGTGGAAACACCACGTAAATTTATTACTGCAAAGCTTTCGATCCGTAAGCCCGGATCTTCATCAGTGCTAATAATATGTGAAGATCCGGGCTTACGGATCGAAAGCTTTGCAGTAATAAATTTACGTGGTGTTTCCACAAACAAAACCTATTAAAACCAAATGTGTTGAGACAGTCAGACAGATGCATCAAATTCCTATTATTGTGACAAACTTCCATCCCCCCCTTCAATGTTGTCATTGTTGTGTCTCAGTTAGCATTGTTGTGGTACAGGTTTTCCATGGGGTGGTGCATGAGGGAGCCTTACTGGCAATTTACTTTGTCAACAAATTTTCTTTGTCAGCAAATTCCGCCCCTGGAATAGAGAGGGGGAGGGAGATAGGAATTTTAGAATAATTTGCATATATCCACTGATGACCTAAAACCACAAGTGTCTGACAACTTTTGAAAATGATTGCAGCAACATAACGATAATCGGCAGATGCATACGCACGTGAAAACGAACAAGTCTGCAAACAAGTTGTTACAAACCTGTTCACAAGCTGTCAACAAGTTGTGTTCGCACTGCTTGTTCCCAGTTGTTGTAACAAGTTTGGAACAAGCTGTTAACAACTTGTAACAAGCTTGATGGCATTATCAGACTTGTAGCAAAGTTGTTCTAACAAGTCTGATACAGTCATGATATAGGCCTAACAAGAATGTTACAAGGTTGATGACACAAGGTTGTAACAATATTGTTGTATCATGACTGTATCGGACTTGTTGGAACAACCTTGCAACAAGTCTGATAATATCAACAAGGTTGTTACAAGTTGTTAACAGTTTGTTGCAAACTTGTTGACAATTTGGGACAACCAGTGCGAAGACAACTTGTTAACAACTTGTTGACATGCTTGACACAAGATGCAAGATTTTTACGTGTGTATTAATCGAACGATCACTGTGTATAACAGCCTCCTCTGCAGGCAAAAACTGGCCAAAAAATAAAAATAAGAAGTTGGTTTAGTTAACAAATATCCGTGCTTCTATATCACAATTTATTAAGATATTCTGTCTCTTCCGTTGTAGGCGTATATTTATTGTGGAGCTTTGTTGTTGTCTCACGGTATTGCGTTCATCCTTGTCATAACCATCGAATATCCTTGCGCCAACCTGGAGAAACTTCTCTTCAGAAAGAACAGGAAAGATCAGAAATAAATAAACGTTGCACTCAAGCTAGCTTGTTTAATACCTTTCATTTTTTGTTACAAAAAAAAAAACCCAACACAAAGTTCATGTAAAACTACTGATAATTTAATTTGATGTCTGTATAGTATACGCTTCAGTTTTCTACATTTAGTCTCAATTTGTTTGCCGTGCTATTACTAATTATTAAATGATAATTCTGATTGTAGAATATTTTATTCATTGATTATTTTAATACTGTCAGTTTCCCGTTCGTATTATTGACGTCACGTGCGTGGTAAAACATTCTCATACTGATGTACTGAGAAGATTTTCTAGGAATCTAGGTGGTTGCAAATATTGAAAGATTATTTTCAGAAAACTATACAGACTATACAAAGAAAATCAATGAAAAACTAAAACGGAAAATTGATCAAGGTCATCAAGCTCTCTCGACGAACAACAGACTTGTAGCATGCTTGTCAACAAGTTGTAACAATAATTTTTCTGTGTTGATGTAATTGTACTCAGATGAATATGATGCTTGTGATGTTACTCTGAGTGTATATCCACACCGGGCAAGCTTGAAAAATGTCACATACTCGAACCGACCTGACCGCGTAGTATTCCAAAGATCGTGGGTTCGATTCCCACCATGGCCAGGCATATTTTTCAAGCCTGCCCGGTTACGTTTGGATATACACTCAGAGAAACACCACAAGCATCAAGTTGTAACAATGCTGTTATTTCATGTAAAAAGGAGATGCTTCATTTTTCGTCGTTGATCAAGTTGATTTTGATAGTAGATACTTCTTCTACTCTTTCACATATTTGACGCCTATCACCGTATATTATGGCCATAGCTATATCTATGATTATGTCCCTCCAAACGATCCCAGAATGCACTGTGATCTCTTTTGGGAAAAGGCTAGTTGCATGTTTGTTACAACTTACTGTATGGGTAAGGGTAAGGGTAAGGGTAAGGGTAAGTATTAAAGGGCCTCAGTACGGTATTGTGCCATTACAGGACATGACGTCATGTCTGATCAGACAAGGTCACAAGGATTGTCAGAATTCGAAAAGAACTGCTACATGTTGCACAACGTTTGAAAAATGGCTTCAGATTTTATTCTTTTCACTTGTACGCTGTTCTTTTTACAATTTTTAAACATTGAAGTTGGAAATGCACAAAGATACAGCTATGAAACACCAAACATGGCAGGCAAATTCACTCGGAAAGAGTTGCAAATGGCTAGACCTATAATTGAGAACGCTATTAATATTGCTCTAAATGACGCTTTCAAACAATCCAATACATCTAACAATACATCAGAATGCATGAATACGGTAAAAAACTCGACGAGCAGTGCATTTTCATGTAAGTACACGGTATGGTTTGTCAGGTATTCTCTTATTGTTTAAATGTTTAATGAAATGTATACTGTCATTTATATATATCAGTGTTTAATATATAAAGTGTAATATATATAATGATAGTGTGCATATTAATTATAGAGTGTGTAAATGACGAAGCAAATACCCCCTTTCTATAATTATTTCTATAATCTAAAGAAGATTGTAAAATATAATGTCAATTTGATTTAACGATTTTCCTGGCATATCTCACTCAATATTTGAATTATACTCTCGATTTCAATTTGCTTTTGAAATCTGACTTTGAATGTTTATTTATAACTTCGAAATGTTTGTTGCAAAGTTTTGAAATTCGTTTTGAATTTCGTTCCGAATAAACATAAAATAAACATTGGAAGTCAGATTTCAAAAGTAAACTGAAATCGAGAGTAAATAGTTGGGTTTGTAGATGAAAATTATCGAGTGTAAATTTTATATACATTTATTTAACCTAACCAGGACAGTGGCGAAGCCAGCCCGACTTTTTACTCCTGCTATGTAAATTTCAATTCATTATCATTATTATTTTCTTTACAAATCGATTGTTTTTACAGATCATTAACTCGGAAAAATTAACATAGCAGGAGTAAATAGTCAGGCTGACTTCGCTTCTGAACCAGGAACAGCTGAGAAAAATGCAACTATACTGGCATCCTTTAGTTGGAATCGAACCTGCGACCCTTGATTCTGGTGCAGCGCCAGGGGTGGAAAAAGTATCGGAACCTGGGAACCTAGTTCCCAGAAATTTTTTTGAGTTGAGAGTTTTGCAGAAAATTTTCCAGCAAATATTTCAACATTTTGAGATAACTCTGTTTACTCAACTTACAAGTTACAACTATTCTACTTTATTTACACTGTACATGCTAACATCAGCAGCCTTTTAAATATTTGACAGAAATTAATTCTTTTACCCACCCCTGCCATCACAATGAGGTAAAATGGTAAATACATGCTCTGCAAAGTCTCCAATAAAATGCAAATTAAATAGTAAACAAATAAAAGTGATGGAATAAATAAGATGATAGGACACTTAGTTAAGCGTTAGATCCTTCCTAGTTGGTCATCACTTACAACTGTGGTATATAACAGACATTGTGATACATGTACGAGCATACAAAAACCAGCCTATTTAAGCCTATTATTACTAAAGTACAAATAATACAATAATTATGCATTTGTTTTGTTATTTTTGTAATTGTAACATATTGCAAATGTTACAGAAAATTTCTAGACTTTGACCCAGGTTCCCAGAAAGAAAAAAAATTTTCCCACAGTGCTATAACCAACTGATCTACAGACTGAGGTCAGTTGTCAAGCTCTAACCACAAGTTTATGTACTTAATTGTGGTTAGAGCTTGGTACAGGCGGACGTATAGTTGTATTTTTCTAAATTTGAAATTCCATTGCCCAATTTAGACCATGTATTAAGCATGTAAAAATAAAAAGAATCAAATAGTTCCCCAGGGCTCAAAACAGAAAAATTGTAGCCTGATAAACTATTTTTGTTTGCCAAAATGGTTCTAGTCATCTATGGGAGAAATGAATGTTAATTAATTTGCTCCATGTATTTCAATCAAGTATTCAGGGCTAACAAGAGGTATTCATAATAGCAACCTAAATTTGCCCCCCTGATGTGGAGACCTTACCCTATTAGATCAGTGCTCCCAACCACACACCTAATCATTTCATAGAGTGTCCATCACTGTTCCCCTGCCCCTCAGCTTTCTTAACTTGTGCCTTAAGTTAACATATTCCCAGGGCCGTAGCTAGGCCGATAACTTGGGGGGGAGGTGTATATTCATATATTTGTGTTCTGCCCGACAGATTTCTTTTGAAAGCGATTGTTTTTACGGTATGTGAACATGAATATATGGATATACACCCCCCCCCCCTGCATCTATACCTACAGCCCTGCATATTCCCATAATAATAATCTATTTCAACCCAAGATTTTGATGCGGCTGGTAAACTTCCTGCTGGTTTTTCCCGTGGTCACACAGTGTGGTTGGGTTCATTCGACACCTGTCAAGATATACCAGATGCTCATTACTGTTTGTTAAATTTCAAAATTAAAATTAATATTCTGCCACAAGTTATAAATAAGGTATCCAGAAATATTATTCCTAGCAATTATTGAATTACTCTATATTAGTCAATTATAATCCATGAAAGATTGTGCTGTGATTATAATTCAGAAATAGGCCATTTTAATGGTTGAATGCCCACAGACAGCAGCGTGAGAATCAGAGGCTTCATGCTAAATGTAACATTTCTATTCTATTAGCAAATTAGAACTGAGCCTCAACTTGGTATAACTGTTCTTGACAAATAAAGTGTAATTTGGTAATGGTTTATTCCAAGAAGGTTGTAAAAAACATGAATGAATAGCTGGTGACCATTTCCAGGGTGTTAGCTGGCTAGCCCATATTAACTGTCCGTTTGACGGACTCTTCCCAATTGAAGGGGCTTTCCATTTTTTTCTATATCAAAGAACATTTTATTACTTTTTCCCATTAACTATTTTCTCAAAATGTATCGTGTTTCATTCATATTGGGTGTGTATTCACTGAAATGAAATGTACAAAACAAAGTGTAATCAGTGTGCATCCGTGTTCATTCACTGGAAATGAAATATACAAAATGAATCGGGTGCATTTTTCAGTGTTCATTCACCGGAAATGAAATGTACAAAACCAAGCTACCGTTGTTTGCATCTAAGAAGAAACACGTTGGAAAAAACACTATTTATTCCTACACAAGGACTTTGATCGATCACTTTCCCAATTTACGTTTAACGGACAAAACTTTTTTCTGGCGAACACCCTGATATCATATGATGAACGTAGTAGAATATCATCAGTGGCATAATGCTCATTGGGTAGGGTATCTCCCAGAAAATTAGAAACCGTAAAACATGCAGGTTAAATTAAGAATCAGTGGGAAAATTCAAAATTGATAACACTAAATAATAAAGCCTCCATTGACAACAGTACAGCTGTTTTTTTATCGCCATGCAAACTTACAGTACAAAGAACTTATTCTTATTAGTTGTCACATGTTGGAGACTGTTATTGTTGCACAGAATTTTCAAAGACATTCTATAAAATAAATAATAAAATATTCACTGATATTAATAATATTTCAGTTAATTAAACAATAACAACAGTCAACAGGGGCCCCACACCAAATGTGTAGGGGCCCCCACTTCCTTCATTACGCCACTGAATCTCACATTTATGCAGGGTTCCCAATAAACATCCGCATCTGGCAATATTCGCAGCTGTAGCAATATTAAATAATTGCCAGCTATTTCTCCAGATTTATTAAAACAAAATATTTCCTCCTTACGAAAGAAATGTCAAGATAAAGACCCTTTATAACATAAATTATTTGGATGACAAAATTACTACTCTCCAAAAATGCCATTTCAGATGGTCCAAATTTCAAAATCTTCATGGAGAGACGCCTTCAGACCTCTCTTGGTGAGGTATCTTCAACAGGACATAGTCGCCTACTTCTTTCAAAAAGCCATGCACCCACTGCAAATTCTGTTGGGGACCCTGTCATGATGTCTAATTTACCCTGATAGTGAGTGGAGAGGTTAGCACCATTTCGTTTTTGATATCCATTCGATCAATAGTTGTTTTATTGTTTACTTTTTAGTCAATTCCATTGAAACTTGCTTTGTGTGTACCATCTGTGTGTGGACCTGTTGATCTTGGTGAATGGCGTGCAAGTAATTCCACTAAATGTGAGTTGTCATTTCTACAGTAATCTTGTTAAGGCCTATTTCCACAGTTAATGTCCATTTGTAAAATATGATTGGCCGATCGACACAAATTTTTCCGTCAGAAAAAAATTTGAAGTTGAAAATTTTCAACTCTTAACAATGATATTTTCAAGAAATTGAATTCAGCTTGGGGTCTGTGGAGCTTTCTCCCCCCCCCCCTCCCCTGATGGAAAGGGCAGGGTGGAACATGTGGGTCCATGGGCTAGTAAGGTCCTGGATGTTTCAATTCACAATTCAGGATTTACATGGCATTATATAAGTACAGCTCGCAATCAAAGTTGCTTTGAATATGTGTCATGAAACAAATTGCAGGTGGTATATTCGCCTTTCTTATTTTGTTATTTTGAAATCTTTCCAATTTTGCCAGTTTTATGGCATTTCACGTTTGGTTTAGTTTTTTGTCAGCCGGAAAAGACGGTCAATGGCTGCAAGCAACCTAATTTAACATACTAAATGTTTTGAACAAACGTTTTATACATGTACTCAGCGATTTGGAACAAGAGCGCGCTGCCGTATCATATAATAAATAGCGTTATGTTTACCCGAGCAGTCCCCGAGCTGTCTCGGGCAGTAATTAGTAGGACCGGTCATTGTCTGCAGTGATCCACGGCAGAGTCCTGTTGATCAGCATTAACTACAAGTTCTTGTGTACATGCATGATAGGGTGGATTCTTGCATGCCAGAGGGTGTATGTGTATTGCGTTTTGCGCGACTGCTCCTGGTTAAAGTCTGAAAATTGTATAGCAAATCTTTTGCTCGAAATTCCATCTACTAGAGAGCCATTACCGGCACCAAAACTCACACAAAAAAAACATGTACAACGTTATCATAAATTATATTATAACATGTACAACCATAAATTTTATACTTTGCATACTTGCCATATTTCAGTTTTTACTCAGAATAGTGTCACAGAGGAAGGACGTACAGAGGTCACACTTAATTTAGCGTAAGGGATTTTTGTTCAGTCGGCCATGT